GATCTCCTGAGCCAGGGATCGAATCCAGATCTCCTGCATTGCAGTCTTTACCATCTGAGCCAGCAGGAATCCCTTCAGAACACTATGGGGGGAAAGGCAGGGAACAGGACCTTTGAATTAACTGACATCTTGAATAGAGAAAATTAAGGAATAGATTCAGTAAGCAGAAGTGTCAAATGGATGAATGTAGTGTCATGATGTGGTGCCCACTTATATGTTCATACTTTTATTCCTCGAACATTTTTCTGTTGTACTGTACTAAGTGTTTGGTAAAGAACCAGCCTGACAATCCTGGGGACATAAGAGACATGGGTTCAATCCCTAGGTCCGGAAGATCCCCTGGAAGAGGGCACAGCAACCCATTCCAGTATTCTTGCCTGGAGAATCCTGTGGACAGAGAGACTGGCAGGCATTGTCCATGGGGTCACAAAGACTCAGACACAACTGAGTGACTAATACTAACACTGTACTAGGTGTAGGTTTTTTACTATGAGTTGGGAATTAAACCATGAAATAAGTCACAATCCCTCCCCCAAGGAAATCACAGCCGGGTGGGAAAGGCAGTCAAGTCGTCACTAATTTTTACCCAGGACTCTGAACAGTGAATGAAGGCAGCAAGAAGGTGGAGTGGGGCCTAATAACCTAGGCTCTGGGGAGAGATCTAGAGGACATGATGTCCTACTGAAGCTGGAAAGTCAGTAAGAAATGATTCAGTTTTAAATGAAAAGAAGAGGGAAGTGTTCCAAGCAGAGGAACCAGCATGTGCAAAGGACCTCTAGTAAAGAGAATTGACCTGGAGTCAAGCGTGACTTATCACATAGTAGTGCCTTCATTCACTGGTTGTTTGTCTCTGGGCAAGTAAGTTTCTCTGGCTTTTTGACCTAGGTTGCCCATCTATAAGAGACGAGATAACCACGTCTATCTTCAAGGTCTGTTGAGTGTAAGAGTGACAGGTGCTCATCCAAGATCCCATTTCCCTATAGATAATTCTCACTCCTGTTCCTCCCATGACTGTCCAAGTGTCAGGACAAGATGTTTCAGCTTTGGAAACTTGTTCTCTTGTGTGGCCTGCTTGCCGGGACCTCAGCATCTCTTCTTGACAATATCGGCAAGGATGTTCTGAGGAAGCTGAAATCTGGTCTTGAGGAAGGACTTGAAAACCTTGACAGTACACTTGGAAGTGAGTCAACAACAGGGGTGATCAGTGGCACCTAGGCGCTTGCTTCCTACATACTATGTCTGTATTAGCAAAGGCAGCCAGCAGGGGTTGCTCCTTACGGGTGGTTTACTAAGGTAACTAACTGGTTCCTGGTTCATTTGTTTATGATTTTTCTAGAAACAGGTATTTCTTAACTGAATATCAATTAACATCTTATCTCATCATAAAATTTGCTAATATATTTATTGGATAAGATCCTCAAAGTGACATTTCAAAAGTTCAAAAGGTATGCATATTTTAAATTGCAGCAGGTATTGACAAATAATTCCCTACATTAATAGTTTCTCCAACCATCCGTGAGAGTATCTTTTTTCCTACTCTCTTGACAGCACTAGTTTGGACAACTGAAATTTGCCAGTCTCACAGATGAAAGGTTCTAAATGATCTCTTCATTTCTCTAATTATGAGGGAATTCACTCATTCTTCATATTTTATTACCCATTTATGTACTGAAACTTAAATATTTAATTTATATTTGTAGCATATTCTTCTGTTGGGTCATTCAATTTTCTTAGTAATTTGTATTAACTAATTGCAAAAGGATTCCTACCTAGCCTAGGTAGCTTTAAAATTACCTACCTTTCTGAAACAGATCACCAGCCCAGGTTGGGTGCATGAGACAAGTGCTCGGGCCTGGTGCACTGGGAAGACCCAGAGGGATCGGGTGGAGAGGGAGGTGGGAGGGGGGACCGGGATGGGGAATACATGTAAATCCGTGGCTAATTCATTTCAATGTATGACAAAACCCACTGCAATGATGTAAAGTAATTAGCCTCCAACTAATAAAAATAAATGAAAAAAAAAATTACCTACCTTTCTAGTGAATCGTATTTCCTTGTAATTCTGATTTCTTGAAAGAACTTGGTCTTCTTTTCACTTTTTGGAAGCACATTGCTAAACATTCTTTATAGGAGAAACTAACTTCTGAAAATGACTCTCTTTCAAAACTTGCCAGGGCTTGAGAGTGACTGAGTGATAGTCACTCAGTCGTGTCCAACTCTTTTTGACCCCGTGGACTGTATCCTGACAGGCTCTTCTGTCCATGGAATTCTCCAGGCAAGAATAGTGGAGTGGGTGGGCATTTCCTTCTCCTGGGGATCCTTGCGACCCAGGGACTAAACACAGGTCTCCTGCACTGGAAGCAGATTCTTTACCATCTGAGCCACCAAGAAATCCTGGCAACCTGAAAGATACAGGAGGGACCCAATTTCCATTTTTACTGCTGGTAAAACTGAGCTCAGAAGCAGAAGTGTCGACATCAAAGTCAGCTACTAAGATGTAGGACCAGATGTAGTTTCCATCACTGCATCATTATAACTAGGTACTGTCCATCACCAAGTCACATTGCAGTACACTGATTACATACATTTTTTGAGCTTTTTCCTACTCTTTGAACTAGTTCTTTCCTGTTTTATCTCATTTGAATTATTTTCTAGAGATTTTCTTGATATTTTTCAAATGTGCCATTCTACATCTGCCAAGTCACTTCCTCTCTCGAATCCCTCTATTCTCTGTCCATTAGGGCTCTCTGTCCTTACTCTCCTGTATGAGTCACCTCTTTCTAGGCCATATGCAAAGCTGTCATTCGGGGACTCCTATTTGCCACTTTCATGATTTAGATCCATATATTTTCTCTGACTCTAGATTTTCCATTTCTTATTCTATTCTAAGTTTTCTTTGTTTGGAGGAGCAGCTCATTAGTGCTTCACTACTAGAAGTTAATGTGGAATCAATATCTATTGCCTGTTCAGTGGGTTGATTGCTCTGTTGATGAATGATGAGTATATATTAGAGTGAAGGCGGTGTGGAAAGAACAAGGTCTCCGAGCTGTGTGACTTTGATCCATTTCTTAAACTTTTGATCTTTTATTTCCTCATCTGAAAGTGCAGATATTAGTAATACCGCCTCTGTGGAGTTGTTGTAAGGATTAAATGATGTAACACAGGCAAATATTCTCATTTAGTACCTGGTGCCTGGGATCTTGTAAAACACACTAAATGGAGACTGTTTTTGCAGCTATTTTTCAGCAATTGAAGACTGATTTCACACTGCCCCAGGAATCCAATACTGAGGAAGCCCAGGATGATCCCGAGGAAACTAAGAACTTACTGGAAGAACTCATTTCTGGAATTTTTCAAGTAGTGTACAGACTTACAGGGTGAGTTGTTGCTTCATTTGGAGATATTTGTTCCCAGGAAAGATAATACATCTCTTTGGGGACATAAGTTTAATATCAAAGGCAAAAAGTTGAATAAACTTTGCATGTTCTTCCAGAGGGGTTCCTTGGTGGCTCAGCTGGTTAAGAATCTGCCTGCAATGCAGGAAACCCTAGTTCGATCCCTGGGTGGGTAAGATCCACTGGAGAAGGGACAGGCCACCCACTCCAGCATTCCTGGGCTTCCCTGGTGGCTCAGCTGGTAAAGAATCTGCCTGCAATGTGGGAGACCTGGGTTTAATCCCTGGGTTGGGAAGATCCCCTGTTTTGCAGAGCAGAAGTGGTCTGAGGCCAATTCTACCAGAGTGTGGGAAAATTAGAGTCAAGTCTGTGGGGTCCATTTGGATCTCATGAGTTTGAGCGTTCTCCTTCTGTGATTTCAGGGTCAGGATGAAGTTCTTCTTCACCCCCACCTCTACCTGTTTGATGGTGCCTAAAGTTTCATTCTCAAGGAATAAGACATTTCTTCTCTGAATATAGCTGAGTATAAAAGTCTGAATGGTCTCAGGAGAGAGGAATCTAGAATTCACACCACATAGGTGACCCCATACATGAAGGCTGGGCCAAGTCAAGCAGTTCTGGGTTCTAATTCTGGCTCTGCATTAAAAAGGAATGAAATAATGACACTTAAAGCAACAAATGGATGGATGTAGAGATAATCATACTAAATGAAGTTAAGTCAGAGAGAGAATGACATATATCACATATATCACAGATACCACTAATATATGGAAACCAAAACATGAGACAAAAGAACTTATACAAATCAGACTCTTAGAACATAAAAAAAAAAAACAAAGTCATGATTACAAAAATGGAAAGCAGTGTGGAGGATAAATTATGAGTTTGGCATAAATGTATACACACTACTATATATACAATAGACAACAAGCAAGGACCCACTATATAGCACAGGGAACTATACTCAATATTTTGTGATAACCTATAAGGGAAAATACCTCTGTATCTATCTATCTATCTATCTGAATCATTTTTCTGTACATTTTCTTAACCTAATGAAAGTGAAAGTGATGAATGTGAATGAAACTAATGAAAAGTGAAAGTGTTAGTCGTTCAGTTGTGTCTGACTCATTGCGACCCCATGGATTTTAGCCCACCAGGTCTCTCTGTCCATGAATTCTCTAGGCAAGAATCCTGGAGTGGGTTGCCATTTCCTTCTCCACAGGATCTTCCCATCCCAGGGATTGAACCCGGGTCTCCTGCATTGCAAGCAGATTCTTTAACCTCTGACCCATCATGGGAGTCCCACACCTGAACCTAACACAACATTGTAAAGCAGCTAGATATCAAAAAAAAAAAAAAAAAAAAAGAACGCTGGCTCTGGCACATATTCACCCTTGGAGTCTTGAGGGAAATCACAGCTGTCTGATCTTCATTCTGCCATGCCATCCAATGGAGAGAATCCAACCCCTGAGCACGGCTCTCATGAGGACCAAAGCAGGCAAGGTCCATGAGGCTCAAATGCTCAGCACAATGCTAGCAGAGAGAAGAGCCCAGCAATGGCTGTCAGGAGGAATGACAGGGTGAATTGTGGTTTTTGCACAGGGTGAAAATCAGTGATCTTCGCATCCTGGATCTCACATTAGAAGCGACTTCTGACAGCAGTGCTGAAGTGAAAATCCCCATCACTGCTCATATCAATGTGAAACTGTGAGTATGGCTTAGAATCCAAGGTTTGGGAGATGCAGTAAGCTATGGCCTGTAGGTCTCTAATCTGGAACCAGGCACTTATCTCATTATAAATTTGAGAGTTGAGAAGACATGAATGCATAACACTTTGGCAAAGTTTCCTCCAGCATCATTTTGTCTCCCAAGATTCTCTTTAAAAGCAGTGACCATTATGGGCCATTATCCCAGTGGACAGTATATAATGAAAGGCATGTGGAAATTATAGGCAAAATATAATTTCTAAGTATTTTAATTACTTTGAAGATACAAACAGATAGGAAAATGAAGATACATAGAAGAGTCTTATAAATTAAAATGCACTATGACTTCACCATTCATTAGTTATGAGATCTTGAGATAGTTAGTAAACTTCTCTATACTGCATTTCCTCATTCTGAAAACAAAGATAATGATAGTATCTTTCTCATGGAATTGCAGTCGAGATTAAATGGATTAATCCAAGGAGAGTACTTTTTTGGAAATACCTAACATAATATTTTGCTAAAGAAATGCTAACTCTTTTTTTTTTTTAATTTTAATCATCAGTGTGATAGTCTACAGAAATTTCGCATAAACCAAACACTCTGGCCAGGAGAACAAAACCTAACGTAAGAATGTAGATTCCATAAAGAATACAGACTATGTTGTCATTGTCCATTTGTTGTTCAGTCACTAAGTCCCGTCCAAATCTTTGAGACCCCAAGGACTGCAGCACGCGAGGCTTCCCTGTCCTTGTCTATAGACATCTCATATAATGTCCACACAAGAAAGAAACTAAAGTGGGCAATGTGAAGGGACTTCTCCATCTCTGCTCACTATGAATCTATTTTCCTGCAGGCCTGTGTTGGGTGAGATTGTCGACTTGGCCCTCAACTTGGTCCTCCGGTTTAGTGTCAGCGTTGAAACCGATGAAGAGACTGGTGTCTCCCATGTGGTCGTGGCAGAATGCAAGAATGATCAACAGAGCATCGAACTCACCGTGCTGGGCAGGTCAGGTCCACACATCTCAGCAGAGAGGGGATCTTCGAGGAGTTGGGACCCAAAATTTCAGCCCTAATCCTTACCTGGGAGGGAGCAGAGTTTGGTAAAGAAGAGGTCAGACTCTGGAGTCAAGTTAGCTTTGCCACTAACTTGTGGTTTTGGTATCAATTTAGCCTCTAGAGGCTTTAGTTTTCACATCTGTAAACTGAGGATGGTAATAATACCTAACTCATAGCCTCCTCTGTTGGCCAAATGAGAAACTGTGAGTGTTTAGCATACAGCCTGGCACATACTAAGCTCTCAGTAATGATAATACCTATGCTGACTTTCTGTCTCTTGGTTCTTCCCCTTACTGAGACAGAAATACTGACCTCACCAACCATAACTGGGCATTTCTATATTTCACCTTTCAACTTTGTCTGTTTTTGCTTCATGCTTTTTGAAGCTCTGTTGTTAGATGCCTGCACATTTAACATTGTTATGTCTACTTGAAGAACTGACCCTTCTCATATTACATAATGTCCCTCAGTAATAGTAATAATAATAGTAATTCACTGTGTTTCCCTTCTTTCCTCTAGTAGGGAGGGACAAGAGAAGTAGTAAATGCCTACCATGAGCTCTAACTTCAGACTATCCCCAAATCATCCTCTACCCACTGAGAAATTCCCAAAATGACATCTTGAAAACTTAATCCTCTCCATTGAAATCACTGATCTCTGGTAACCCACCAACACTGTATCTTAAACGGTATGCTTGGAAGAGCATGTTTAGCCCCAGGGAAGAGGGTGGAAGGAGAAAGTCTGATCCTTGTCATGGCTGAGAGGAGAAGTGGTCTGGAACCTGAAGGGTGGGGCAGGTTGTTCTCCCAGGGAAAAACGCTCAGCCAGGAGCGGAGGGTCCGTCCATCCTACCTCAGTAAGGGATCTGATCACAGGTGAACTAAAGACCCCCCATAACCAAATATAGGCTCTGCAGCCTACCATCACTTAGAAGACCGAGCTGTAAATCCAAATGCCTGAGCCCTGCTGGACACTGCCTTGCCCAAAGCCCCAGGGAAACCATCCTGCCTTCCAGGTCTCAGTGTCCATATCTGTGAAATGGCATTCCACTCTGCTGCTCTAAACCCTCCAGGGGTTTTTCTCTCCACTTTGGGTGGAGTCCCAGGGCCTCCCAGGGCCTCCCAGGGCCATCTAGGCTCTACCTGACCTAGACCCACATCTTGCCCTCTCTGCCCCAGAGATGCTAACTTTTACTCTGTGCCTCAGGCAAACTCCTTCCACTCAACACCTGTACATGAGCTGCTCAGGCACCTACTACAACTTTGCTGCATCTTTGTCCATATATGTCTGCTCCTTTAGGGCCTGAAACAAGGTTTCTTTTCCTTTCTCTCATAAGATTCTACTCTCACCCTTCAGAAAACCAGTCACAAATTGTCATTATATATTCAATTGTAGGTTTACTTCATTTTTTCTTTCATTCAAAAATGTGTGGAGCATCTGCTCTATGCCAGGCAGCCGCCACTCTGAGCTCTGGAGAATTTACGGGTGACTGAGGGCAAGGAGCTTATTCTCGTGGAGTTTAGTCTCTGGAGGGAAGGGCAGACAGGAGAGCATTCAGTCCAACAGTAACAACCCCAGAAGGAAAATGTTGGTTGCAGTTATCCCTGGGCAGAACAGCACACCTAACAGAGTGCTATGACACAAAGCCCTCCCATAGGCAATCAGTCATGAGGGCTGCCCCGAGGAGGTGACAGTTACACTGAGAGCTGAAGATGGGAAGGAGGCAGCCTTGGGATAACGTGTTAATGCTGGGTTCACCCAGGATTAAAAGTCTTTTGAGTTTTTCATTACCCTGTTACAGAAAACTCCAAATGAACTTTTAAGCCAAACAAATATTTAGGTGCCACATTAGGAATTGCTTGGGCTTTGTTCATCACTATGTCCCCAGACAGGTTTGGTTCCAGGCACATAGTTAGTGCTCTCTAAATATGTGCTGAAAAATGAATGAATGGATGACTAGATGAATGAATGGGTAGAAGAATGAATGGATGGATGAAAGAATGGATGGATGCATAGATGGATGGATGGATGAATGGATTGATGGAAGAATGGACAGATGTATGGATAGAAGAGTGGATGGATGGATAATCGAATGGATGGATAGATGAGTTCTCAGGATTGTGGTGAGACTCTCATGAGCTATTGAGAAATGTGAGCTGCTGGTCAACCATGGGGTTCTAACTGATGATTGCCCTGTGTAGAGACTCAAGTCACCTGACTTCAAGGTGCTTCACCATCTTCCGCCCTCTTTCCACTCTCCTGCTTGGCTGCTGAGCCAACTTCATGAAGCTTTATCAATTTCCTCTCTTCTCCAGGCGCACTGGAGTGCTCCGTCAGGTTGCGGACTTCGCAGTCAACCTTGCATATGAAGTGGTGTCCCTCGTAACAGAATCTGAGGTGAGTTCCCCAATCCTGGGGTGCAGAGCCAGGCCTGGCGGGGGTGGGGGTGACTTTCCCTAGGTAAATTCTACTCTCTGAGCACCTTTCTTTCTGGGGGGCCAGCTTCCCTTGGGGCTGTGAATTGCTACCTGCCCCTCTTCGCTCAGGCTGGCCTGAGGAGAAGGTGAACAGGGGCCCGACATGAGTTGAAATCACTGGGTCCCACACTTGAACCATTTACCATACTTATGGACTGCCAACGGTACTTATAGATAATATTTTTTTTCATTCAACACAACTTTAGTTCATTTAAGTACAAAAACTATACATTCCATAGTTCGGATTCATGTGTTTCATATAAAAATACCATAAGTACCATGTGCCCAAAATTCCAAAGATTCTACGTTAGTCACTCTGGAAGGGGGCTGGGAATCTGGCTTTATTTTTCCTCCATGTTGTTCTGTGATTTACTGAACTTGAGTCATGCTCAAAGTGTGTTCCTCAGACCAGCATCACTGACCTCCCATGGATACTGGTTTAGAGACGCAGACTCTTAGGTCCTACCCCAGACCTGGTGCTCAATAATTGCCTTTTAACAACATCTTCCTGGAATTGTAGGCACACAAAACTGTGAAAAACACAAAACCATTTCTCTATAGTTCCCAGAGCCCTATTTAACTCTATAAAGTTTCAGAGTCCAGAGGTCAAGGCTTCTAAGGGTATAGGGTTCTGGAATATTCAAAGTCTAGATTCTTTAAGGTTCTAGGATTCTAATGTTCTGAGGTTTTAGGATTCTAGGGTCCTCTGGATCTCAGTTTGGGCCTTCTAGGTTTCCACGGTTCTAGAGTCCTAAGGGTTGGAAGTACTCAGGCCCCAGTACTGAGCATCTCTGTGGGGTGGGGGCAGGGTGCTCACAGCGGGTAATAACCAGGCCTCTTCCTTCTCCATCTCTCCTCTCCCTCCTCACCTCCCAACCTCTTTCCTTCCTTCTCTGTCTCCATTTCTCTCTCTGTGTGCCTCTCTTTCCCTCCTTGTCACCCTCAGCTGTGCCCAGAAGTCCGCAGCCTCCTTGAAAGCCTGAATGCGGAGTATGTTAAGAACCTCATCGGTAAGTCACAGCCTGGGAAAGTGGCGAAGGGGCTCCCTCTGCAGCATCACAGCGGGGAGCAGGCCACTGTATGCCTACAGCACCAGCAGGTCTGGTCAGGGGGCCCTGGAAGCTGAGACCCTTTGTCCTGAGCAAGTCTTGAGACTGTGTATAGAAGGGTCCCCGCAGACTAAGGGCCTCTGTGGGCCTCTGAGAGCTTCTGCTGCCCTCCTTTGTCAAACTGATAGAATCTGCTGCCGAGAATAACGTGAGAAAGAGGACAGGCCAGATCTGGGTTCAAATCCTGGATCTGCTACTTAACAACTGTGGGGTGGGGGTCAACTGGCTCCACCTCTCTGAGACTCGGTTTCCTCCCAGGGGAAGGATATAACAAACATGGAAGAGCTGATAAGTGGATTTAAAGAAAAAGCAGAAAAAGCCTAATATCCAGTAGGCATTGATGGTAAACACCATCCCTTCCCTTTGCCCTCTTATGAGGAGCTATGGGTTTACCACCAGCCCCTGGGGGCTTTCCTCGACATGGGTCTCCGGCATGACTGTGGTTGCTGGGGCTGTGGGGCAACAGAAATGGGGTGAGTGACAGCATCAGGGTCCTGAATGCAGTCCTTCTAGAAAACAGCCACAGGCCCAGTTCTTGGGTGATCACTCTGTGCTTCCTGTTCACCACTTCACTGGACCCTTGCAACAATCCTGTGGGGGTGGGCAGTGTCATCACACCCATTTTGCAGGTCATCTAACTGAGGCTCAGAGACAAGGAGTGGCATGTGAGTGGTCCCATGCCTGTCAGTCTGACCGTCTGGATGCTGGGAACCACTGGTGTCTGATTTCTATTCAGCTCTCCAGAGCTGGAGGCTGAAAACTGCTACTGATTTCTTCTTTCAGGTGAACTTTGGGAAGCCCAACAGGAACCGTGAAGGGCACAGATGAGGAAAACTGCTGCGATGCCCGCCTGCTGGTGAGGACCGGGCTCGGGGCCCTGGGCTGAGGGAGGATGAGATTCCCACAGGGGCCCGTGGAGAAGCGGAAACAAGCTTGGCTTCTCTCCTTTCTCTAGTGGAAGACTGAGCCCTGATCTTGGTCGTGGACCGAGTCCTGACCCTTAATCACACACCCAGACGGCACTTGATTCTGCTCCCTGACTGAGCCTGGAACAGTCAGGCTGAGCTTTGACTCTAGTCATTGACTGAGCCTTGACGCTGGTCACATTTAGAATCTGACCTGCATCTCAGTCTGATCCCTGATCCTGATCATACGCTGAGCTCTGAACCCTGGCTCCTCTGGGCCCTGATCAGTCTTTTCGCATCAGTCATTGTTGCTAAGGTGAGGGGGTGGGAGGGTGAGGGGATGAGGAGGGGTCAGTGCCAGGTGCCAGAGAAAGACCCCAAACCACAGGTGCCAGTCCCTCCCCAAGCCTCAGAGCTGCAGGGTTTGGGGAAAGTACTCCTGCAGCAGTGCCTGGTGAACTCAATTGCCAGTAAGGACCCTGGGGTGTGCATGTCTCATGTTGGGGTCTCCTTTCAGATTGAATCTTGACTGAATCTATGCACAGTCTCCCTCTGGGACAGTCAGTGCTGCCACCATCCATCAGGAAGGACAACTGAGCCCAATCAAAGGACACTTCTCAGATACTCCTCCCCACAGTCAGGACATCCTGTACGGATCACCCTCCACCCCCAGCAATAAAAAGCCATTTCTGCACCTCCTGTGTGGTCTGTTGCATCCTTCCATTGGTATTTCAGGACAGCTGAGGTATGGGCAATCAGGGCAGTGGAGAACTGGATCTGAAGGTGAAAGGGACTTTCAGGATTATCCAGCTGCATTTTATTGTCTTACAAATGGGAACACTGAGGCCCACGCTGGGCAAGAAAGCGACTCGAGGTCACAAAGGGACAGCCTCATTCTGCTTCTGCTAACACCACCACCATATTGGAGAGTTGCCTTCACCAGCACACCTGACCTCATGACTTCCTGCAGCACCCTTCTGCCAGGAGACCCTGCTCTTTTCCCCATTGGATAGATTATGAAGCTGAACCTCAAAGAGGACAAGTGACTCATCAAGGTTACAGCATAGCAACTGGTGGGACTAGCTTTAAACCCATGGCTATGGGATCCCTTGCTCAGAGAGGTGACAGCCTGGCTCCCATACTCAGCCACCTCTCCCCAGCCCCTGTAGGTCCTGCTCTCCTGGCCTCGGTCTGTTCAGCCCAGGACTGATGGGGTTCCTCTTGTGGCCCCTCTGTCTTCTCAACACGCAACCCCTCAGTTTCCCCTTTGCCTTGGGATGAGGAACAGAGACCCCTTACTCACAGCTGCGTCACCTCTGCAGAGGACTGACCCAGGCTATCACCTCAGGGTCCCCGGGCCTCTCCTTTCCATGAGGGCATCTGACTTTCCTGCCAGCAGGCCCAGGGAAGCTTTGCCCGTTTGCTGAGGAGCCATCTCAGTGCTGTGTGCAATTCTGTGAGGGAAGAACCACTGTTGTCCTCATGGGAGACTCGGGTTAGGCGAGACCAGGGCCACACAGAGGCCTGCACCAGCGGCTGCTTCACTCCAGGGCCTTCTGTCGGATGAAGGCTGCCTCACAGAGCCAAGTCATCTAGGAGGCTTTTGAGCCCCTGGGGCAGCTGGGGGCCTTGGACCAGCTCTCCTGAGCTCTCCCAAAGGACCTCAGTTCAGGCCGTGCCAGGGCTGTTGACAAGGCGGGCGGTGAGAGGTTGGTCAGAGCTGAGCTACACTTGGCCTCTGCCCTTTGTCAGCTGTGTGATCTCAGGCAACTTACTAGAGCCACAGTTATCTCACCTGCCCAGTAGAGTTAACAGCAAAACCTCCCTGTTGCAAGTCTGTGACGATTAAATGAGTCAGTGAGTGGAAAATGCTTAACCATAGTCTGACACTGCTGAGCACAATATGAATGTCAGCCTCTACACACTCAAATTACTGTCAAACAGTGTTGAGAAATCCCATATTCAATCTTTATACACTGTATCTCACTCAATTATGATTTATACTGAATGATGCAGTGAATGGGTCTTGGCGTAGGTGTGACGTCTCCAGGGCCACACAGCTGGTCAGACGCAAAGCGAGATTTCATGTGAAGTCAGTCTCCTCCAGTTCTGGTTCTTCCCCTGCTGGCCATAGCAAAGGGATGAGAGTTTTCCTCTCAGCCTGTATTTTGTGACAGTCCCAAGTCCCACACGAGTCCACATGGAGGGCGCACGATTCAGGACTTCCCTTGAGCAGTAGCCCCCTTGGGCCAATGCTGAGCCTTTCTCTGAGCCGTTCCACCACCTGGAACATCATTCCTTCTCTCCCTACAGCTTTTCATTCCTCCTCAGCCAGCCACTCAGCTCAGGAGCTGTCTCCTTGCAAGTGGGGATACTGCTCAATGTTTTGCCAACAAAGAGACTATGTTTTCCAGCTGGTAGGTCTACCCAGGCTACTCTTCATTATAGTCTCATACAGACCCTGGGATTAAACAAATGTCTTGCTCAGAGTCACAAAACAGATTATTAACAGAGCCAAGGCTGGAACCCATGACAGGGTCTCCTTCTCCTTCCTCTAACACCAGGCATATCCCAGGGTCACACCTCCATGAACACGTGGTGTCACTGGTTGCAGGGACCTTAGATATGACCCGGTCCTGCATTGGGAAACATGCAGAGTGTCCACTCTCTCCTCCTGACCTTATGGCAGACATCACTAATCAATCCTTCCCTCCAGGCCCAGAAGCTTCCTGTGAGGGCATCTTGGCTAAAGCTATATCCAGGCCCTACAATCAATCAGAGTGCTACTTGAGACCACAATTAGACTCCCTAACTTGATCCCAAAAGGGAAACTGAGACAAAATGAGGAATCATCTGTGCCAAGGGGTATATATCAGCACCCAAGGGTGCCAGAACTTGTGAACATAGGTATCCTGTAGATCCGAGCCCATTCAACCTCATTTAGTCTTTTCTGCACACAAAAATAAGAAATGCAGTTGCAATTGATTAAGCACATTGGCTGCTTAATCTACCGACTAGAGCCTCTCCATAACCATGTGCAGTGGGGTCATAAACAGATGAGAAACTGGAGGCAGAGTGGAATGAGGTGATCAGAAACCAGCAACAATTGTAATCATCAACATCACTGTTGTAACCATGTTATCAGGGGCCTACACACATTATCCCACCACTTCCTCACAGCACACCTGGGTGGAGAGGCCCATAGTTAGTCCCATTTCACATTTAGGGGACCTGAAGCTCAGGGAGATGAAGCTCCTTGTCCAGGCCACAAAGCCAGCAACAGACAAAAGAGGATTCAAACCCAGTTTGCCCAACCGCAGAGTTCAGTTCAGTTTAGTCGCTCAGTCATGTCCGACTCTTTGTGACCCCATGGACTGCAGCATGCCAGGCTTCCCTGTCCATCACCAACTCCTGGAGCTTGCTCAAACTCATGTTCCTGGAGCTGGTGATGCCATCCAGCCATCTCATTCTCTGTTCGTCCCCTTTTCCTCCTGCCTTCAATCTTTCCCAGCATCAGGGTCTTTTCCAATGAGTCAGTTCTTCACAATAGGTGAAACTCCAAAGTATTGGAGTTTCAGCTTCAGCATCAGTCCTTCCAATGAATATTCAGGACTGATTTCCTTTAGGACTGACTGGTTTAATCTTCTTGCAGTCCAAGGGACTCTCAAGAGTCTTCTCCAACACCACAGTTCAAACGCATCAATTCTTCGGCGCTCAGCTTTCCTTATGGTCCAACTCTCACCCTCAAACATGACTAGTGGAAAAACCATAGCTTTGATGAGACACACCTTTGTCACAAAGTAATGTCTCTGCTTTTTAATATGCCTTCTAGGTTGGTCATAGCTTTTCTTCCAAGGAGCAAGTGTCTTTTAATTTCATGGCTGCCGTCACCATCTGCAGTGATTTTTGGAACCCCCCCCCCCGCCCCGCCAAAATAAGTGTGTTACAGTTTCCATTGTTTCCCCATCTATTTGCCATGAAGTGATGGGACCAGATGCCATGATCTTAGTTTTTTGAATGTGGAATTTTAAGGAAACTTTTTGGATTAGCCCTCATAGTCAGCAAAAGAGTAACTCTCATAGTAAACAAG